CACACACACACACACACACACACACACACACACACACACACACACACACACACACACACACACACACACACACACACACACACACACACACACACACACATACACACACATCACTCTTTCCAATTGATCGATTGATTTCACATGCGTTTAAGCGTAATTTCAACTATTTTAGTCTGTTTTCGTCCTTGAATAAAGATCATTGGGACCAGCAGTCTGATGTAAGACTCTCATCAGATCACAGATAGTATTGACAGACAATGAGTGCACATTGGTATCCTGTTACTTCTCACCATTTCAATCTTCTATTGTTCAAGCGTTTACTGGGATCTATTTTCATTCTCAAACTTGGTATCATCAAGAAAGGAAAACGTATCAACGATTTCCATTTCCGCGTATTTAAGTATTCCAGTCCTGTTCCTCTCCCACATTCGTGCAATTCTTGAATTCCGAAGACTAATTCTTTCTCCTCATATAGTATGGAAAATGTTATTCTTGTCCTCTGTTGCAGTTGTGATCTGTTAATTTTATTGTCAAAAACCATGTTTGAAGAAATTGACCTTTCTATGTAAATCACCTAACGTAGATTGAGGCTGAAAGGAATGAACAACTTTGAAGCATGCGATCGTCATTTTCACATATAATCAATCGGACTTAGATAGATTCATAAATTTCATTTTCATAATATTATTTACAGAAATTCGGGAAACTGTAGATTCCAAAGTTATATTTCTCTCTTTGAGCAGTGTGTACAAGAAATCGAGGTCAGGCTGTGTCGTCACTGATCTTGGAATTGGAATGTGATTTTTTTTTGATAAAAAATTTATCGCTACGTTGTTATTGTACGATGAGATAGTAACAGCAACAGTTGAGTGACGCCATATCAAGGCGAAGAAATTGACATTAAAGTTTCAAATAAGTGCCAATCTGACTAGCAGATAAAAGCGCTTAAGTGACGAGCTGTGTAACTACGAGATGAGCTAGAATTGAGCTAAAACTAAAGGAGCTAAAAAAGTGTACTCCTAATCTGAATAACAAAAAGAGTGTCTTAGTAAATTCGTTCTAACAGTCCCCACAAGTTTCATTTCAGTGCAGTATAAATTGTTTCATTTCCTGTTTGAAAAATTAATATTACCGAAATGAAGCATTCATTACTTCTTGTTGACATACCAATACCCTCAGAATTTTGGGGATAAATTCATCTATCTAGTTATTATTCATCTAGTTCATCTAATTGATCATTTAGTTGTTACACTCGCATATGTTTAGTTCCTTGACAGTACTACACAAGAAAATTTTAAATTTTTGGACTTGTGAATACAATGATCGGCGTAATAGCACCTTATCTGTCGAAATTCCACCGCAGTTACCAATCAAATGATATCATCGATCGACTCAATTATCAGTATACGGCATTGATCATTTCACTCACTGCGTTTACCCTTGCTGCAACACAATATGTCGGCAAACCGATCCAGGTGAGTCTGCGTTTTCAATTAATTGAGAGTCATTACTTATTCGCGTTGTGTTCGGTAAATATTTAATAAAAAATATATTCGGACAGCTAATATAGCGGACCAAAGACACAATTTTAGAATTTCCAAAAGTTTTAACTCACTAGGTGTAGAGTCGTCCGAAAACTGCTTAATCACAGACTGGTTGAAATCCAAGTTGAAAAAGAAATTATATTTAAATTATATTTCAGTGTTGGGTACCTGCGCAGTTTACTGGAGCATGGGAAAAGTAAGTGAGCTTCACTGGCATGATTCCTATCTTTCCTTGCTTTTGTTTTTTCATCGGTGGCTATTCTGTTGAGAATCCGATATGTTTTTTCAAGGCCTGGAATTATGCATAGTATTATCTACCATTTTATTATATAGAAGGAGTAAAGAAAATTTTCTGCTTGCGTACTTTAGGGTCGCGGTCACATCGATTTGTTGCAGTAGATCCAATTCCCATCAATCAAAAAGACTGGTTTTAGTTCAACCCTAGTTTTATCAAAGAATGTAATGGAAGTAATTTTAATTGGAGAATAAATAAATAATCCTTTCTTCTCGGTATATTCCGATGCTGTTTTCTTTTAGATACACGGAAACTTATTGCTTTATCAAAGGAAGTTATTATATGCCTTTGGATAGTGAAATACCACATGAATATTCGCAAAGGGATGAGTCGGTTCGTTTCCATATTATTTTCTATCCCTGTGTGTATTACTGTAGGCATATCTTTGCTAAACAGCAACGACAAAATTTTAATTTTTGTTTAGAATTGATCATATTTTACTGTAATATCCGTTATCATTAAAATGAATGGTTAGCGTTATCGTTCGAATATCATTCTCCTATTTAGTGACACCACATTTTACCAACTGATATTCTGCTTATTTCTAGCCTTATTCCTAGCCTATTTCTAGCACTTTGAAGATAGAAAATCTTATTTATCTTGAGAAGTTAATCAGTTTTTTCGGCTTCCTTCAATATTTGTAGATGAGAAGTAGCTTCTGTTTCACACGAAAAAACTGACTGACCAAAAATAACTCCGAAATGTATATGCTGCTGTGTGTCAGGTTATTGGATACTACCAGTGGGTACCCATCGTTTTGGCACTGCAGGCATTTCTGTTTTATTTTCCGTCCATTGTATGGCGAACGATGAATTCGCGTACAGGTCGACAAATCGTTGTTTTCTATCTCTCTAATTCTTTTTAAACTTGGAGAAGTTGTAATTATTTGCAGATTTTCAAATTCATTAGTTGCTCGAATAAATTTTGAAGAAATTAGTTGGATTTTCTAATTTAATACTCACATGATCCAATTATTTACTGCAGGTATCAACGTGAAAGGAATTCTAAATTCAGCAGCAATGGTGAAAAAGAAGTTTGACAAAAGTTCTCGACTTGCACAAGTGCACATCGCAGCAGACCACTTACGGGATGCATTGGATATGCAAAGAGAACTCCGAACTGGTCTCTCTTTTCATTTTTGAGACAGGCATTTTATGTACTAAGGATTACCGTAGTCGTTACAGCAACTGTTTTTTGAAAAATATGATGCAGAACCGCATTTCAATTATGAGCATATCAGTAAATAAATTATTCATTCACCATACTTCCGTTAAAATTATTTCTTCACAAACTATTACTAATAATTTCACAGAAATTTTCAATTTTTGAGGATCCCTCGATTGCTTGCACCTTGGCAAACGAAGTGGAGTTTATCTGATTATCTTATACCTCTTCACCAAAGTGCGTTCTTTTGCATTAGTGGTTCCCAATCAGTGGTCGCAAGGGTAGCAGCGCGGGACAAAACGGACGGACTATTCTAATCGATGTTTGATAAACTAATACATTAAAAGTCTTGATTGAAGTTTATTTTCAGACTAACAGAATTCATTATTTTTAAACATTGTAATCCCCTCTACAAATAAAGAAGTCAAAGTGGTCCCTAGGTCAAGAAGAGGTTGGGAACCACTATTTTACATCAGAATTTACAGTTTCGGTTCTTATTCGTGTAATACATTTCATATCTTCATAATGATAGGCGCTGTATGTGGCCAATGTGGTTCTACAGTTCGTCATTCTGAATGCATTCCTCGGACCGCAGTATAGTCTCTGGGGTGCAGGCATTCTTTCTGATATATGGCGCGGCAAGGAATGGAGTGAATCTGGTCATTTTCCTCGAGTCACAATGTGCGACTTTCATGTCAGTTAATCATTTTCTGCTGAACCATTTTTCTTGAAGCAATTTTTAAATTCATTTTAGAAGTAATGACAAAGTTACGATGAAAAGTAGAGGAAAGATTTATGTGTTTCTGTAGAAGTCATTCAGATAAAAGTAATTCAGATTCGTGTGCTGGGCAATATTCACCGTTGGACAGTGCAGTGTGTTTTAATGATTAATATGTTCAACGAGAAAGTATATATTTTCTTATGGTAAACAAGTTACGTTTTTTTTTTCCACTGGTCTTAAAAGATTCATGATCAATATTCTCTAGATATCATCATCCCATTGCTATTCCTGTCAAGATTACTAATGACAGGTGGTGGTTTATACTAGTTGGAACTTTGTCAGTGTTATCGCTCCTGTATTACTTTTTTGCCTTGATGCTTCGATCGAATCAGCGGCAATTTGTAACACGTTATCTGCGGTGTGCTGGTGCTGTTCCGGATTTTAGAGATCCGAAAACAGAAAAGTACCTTCATGACTTTATTAGAAAATTCTTGCGACCGGATGGTGTTTTCATTTTGCGACTTATCGAGGTTTGATATCAATTTATTTATCAGCTTGCACTTGACCGTATTATAAAATGATAATTGTCGGCTCATCGGCTTATTTGCAGATTAAATTGTGCTAGTTAGGGGAAATTGAAGTTGTCGTTTAGGCTGATATAGTCTAGTGAGCAAGATAGGCAGGGCTTGTGATTTGTAAGGTTACCAGATGTTCGTCAATATTCTAATGATCTGTTTTTCATTACAGACAAATGGTGGCGATTTATTGGTTAGTGAAATCGTTAATGTAATGTTCGGCCGCTACAGAGCTCGTGTGGAAGAGCAGTCCGAAACAATGGCTGTGACTGATAGCACACATTTGAACGGCAGTGATAATTTAGTGGAACGATAATTTCCTCATTTATGGCACTTAGTTTCTTGACTCTTTATAATGTTCGAAGGCTGAATACTGTGAAACTGTTATAAAACCAAGTAAACAGAAAGAATTAGAATGAAATTAAATATAAAAATATAAGTAGTTTCAATTATCCAGTTAGAAAGAGAATTCTTTGATCAGCTACTAATGGACTTGTATTATTTTTAAGACTTGAAGAATATTTTTAACGTTATTTCATTACATAACGGCGCACTGTTTGATGATTTTTCATTTTGTTGATAATATAATTACAAATTAATCTCTAGGAATAATAAAAGTAACCTCCAGTCTTTCAAATGTTACTTGATGAATTTCTTTGTATATCGAGAGTGTGCTGAAGCATTGTCTTCTTAGAACAAAAGGAATATTAAAAGCGTAGTTTTTTTACCAACCTCTTCTATCGAATTTACCAGCATAGATTACTCCTGTTGTTCCTGAAGATCGTCCATGCTGAATTGCCTCTGGTTTATGGATTTCTAAAAAGCTATGCTGTTCACCAGAGGAGATGTCATTGTAGATTTTCATAAAAATTTGTTAAGTTAAAAGATACAAAGAAAAAGTCCAATGTATTTGGATTTTGTAATACCTTTAACTCGGGGATTTCACAAGTGAGAATTTTTCCAAATGGATTCATTTGTCTGAAGTACATTCTCAGTTGCTCTGCAGTTAATACATTTTCAGAAGAGATTTTTGCCATGTGCATGTGGCAAAAATAACGAATAGGTGAAGTGAAGTCTTTAAAAAAGGGTGATATTGCTAAAAAATGAAGTATTTCTTCTTGTCCGAAGACAGTTTTCGTGAACTTTTAAGAATAGAAAATATGGGGTCAAGACGTAGTGTAGGTTGTTCTAATATGAATTTCACAGACAGACTCTTGCAAAGTTGTAAGACTGAGTCAATGTTGATAACAAATAAAATTAGGGATACGATAAGTTAGGTGCAATGAATAAAGAATTTGTTGTCGAATATGGTACAGTTAACATAGAAATTTCCTGGAGCCTCCGAATAGCTATAGAGTAATGAAGGTTTTCGAAGTATTATCTAGTATTGCAGAGAGCAATGAAAATTGAGACAATTGTATGAAGAATTATAATACCTCGGAATTCCAACCTCTACACGATCCTCAAAGTTATGAGTCCAGGAATTCTTGGCCTCTTTAGATCGCCGTTACGAGCTCGGGGAGTTTTTTTCTGCTGGTAAGAGTTATTCTAAGTCATTTTATATTATTAATAAAATTCATTCAAAGACAAAAGATATAGAGGAGAGGGAGTTTTACAACATGGCTTTACTATAAATTCCGTAGGAGAATAAGCAAATGGTAACAATATTTATATAATATGGTGGTAATACGTATATTATAGTGAAAAGAGAACAAGGCTTCTCAATTCCCGATCGTCACTGAGACCTATAGTGACATCATAAGGACTTATATGATTTCTAATCTCATTACAAAAAAACGGAGTTATGGGATTATTTTTCTACACTAAATCGATGCTAGAAAGGTAGATATTAAAAGATGTAAGAGCCTAGTTCCTCACCATAAGATTTCTGTCATCTCCACGGATACCATTTTGTCAGGAAGGAGAAGCTTGCGTACCCTAATAACATTGCGATCTATATGTTGGCGATGGCTCATACCTCCAGCAGGTTCTTCCACGTGAGAGAGGTCTCAACCGAAAAGTAGATAAAGTGTATCCATGGATAGGATAGGCTCGCTAGCCTCCCGGCAACCATCCTAGAAGAAGGATAACTCTAAACCCGGGCAGATGTAGCTCGCTCAACCCTATAAGGCATCCATCTAAGAGAACAATACTTTAACAGAACCTGATTGAGGACTTGACTGTCACTTCCCTAGCTCACTAGGCCTGGCAAAGGAACCTTAAGAGCGAAGAATAGAGCGGATTCTGCGCACGCTGTGCTCCATCTAAACTACTGCATGGACTCGAAGGATGATGCATCTTACATTTGTATTTATATAGCAAGCGTGGGTGAAACCCTTCCCGAATCTTCGTTCTCTTAGCCATGATTTTTTTTATTCTTTTTCGTCCCATGCTTTTTACGTGCTTCTATTTCTTAATTATGTGACAAATAGATTATTAACCTTAGTATCTCAAATGATGATAATGACATCTATTATAATGGCCGCATTTCCAGGGTACCGGAACGAGCATGCTCTCGGCCTCATTGGATATTAAGGGAAATTTTTAAAGGTAGATGTTAACATATCTATATATACTAGCTTTTTTTCATCTTTGACTCATTCTGGGCATGGTATTTCTGACTGACTCTGAAAAAAGTATAAGAATCACTGGATACGTTGTACGAATACAGTATTTCGTGATTCGTTCGATTTGTTCAAGCTTTTGATATAATTTGTTCTGTTTTGAACATATATATCACATACATACCACATAATGTATTCTGGCTTATATTTACTGTTTACGCCTTCTCTTTTGTCTCATGCTTTTTATGTGGCTCTAAATTATGTGACGAATGCAATATTCAGATGATTGGAAGTATTCGTAGCTGCTGCGGTTATCAAAAAAATCAACATATTTCATATAGTACTAGGGGATATAATCACAAGATAACCGAAAATGAAATAATGACCCACTTCCTCCTAAAAAAATTTCATCTGACTGGATAGTTAGAAACTGAAAGACACAAAGTCATTATCGACTATGATAATTCCCTCATGATCCATACGAGCCGTCCAGCACAGACTCAACGAAGTTGCTGTAGGGAGTATTTCTCACTTCACATCGATTTCGATACTTCTCTCTTTAATCCTTCCTGTGATATAAACAGTGATGTAATTTAAAAGTAGAATACACTGTAGTAACTCTTATTTCTTTAAAATTGATACGAAGTATATGGATTCAACGCTCAAGCATTGTGACATTCTATAACGAAGTTCATTTTATAAAATCTCTAGAATAATTCTAACTCTCAGGAAACTTTGGAAAGCTAAGTTAATTTCTACGTTGACTTGACTGTTTGAATAAAGTTACTAAAATTCTTTGACCCTTAAGTGTGACTTAAATTTGGACGAAAATAAGCTGTACATTGATAGTGGAAAGAAAATTTTTAATTTATTCAAACTATTAAACGAGAAAGTGATACACAAAAATGATCAGTATAAATAGCTAATAATTTTGAGAATAAATGAAATTATTATCTCTGGTCTGACAGAAAACATCTGAAAACAATTCAAAGTGATGACTTCAAGGGTAAACAAGACACTTGTCAAAGCGATATCTCCAAGAGTAAAGTAGACGCGTATTTGGATTTCCCGTCACGCTAGCGACGAGCATATTTTCACTCGACAGTAAAATTAGAACGATACCTATTGATGCATGTTTAGCGAAGATAAACAGAAAATATAAAAACGCAAAAAAACAAGTCAATGCATAAATAAAAGAGCCACAACTCACGCAGCAATAATGAGCGATAGTTTTAGGAATACTTCAGTAGCCACAAAGGGGGGAGTATTCTGACATCACATGTCAACTTCAAATTTTAAAACTGTAAGTAAATGGCTCTTCAACTTCCACCATCCAAATGTAAGATTTTCTTCAAAAATTTTTAGGCATTATGTTCGGTTATCTACTAACCTTTGTATTCCGAAAACTTGAAAGAGTCCCCATTACTTCGACTCTTTAGCGTGTTTTTCATTCTAGGCAAATTATAAATTTCTGACTAAAAATTATTGAAATTTTCTATTCTAAATCTTCTAAACACAAGTAATACGTGACGCACTACTTTGAAATGAAAACGAAATTTCCGTCATTACGAACTGCATCCAACAGTTTTACCGGTGAAACAGCAAAAATTACTGCTAAGTCTTCCAGTGAACGAGTACCGTCACATAGTTTGGCTATCCTGCAAATAAATTTGAAAGGAAATCAATTTCAGATGACATAACTTGTTCCTAAGGCTGTACCATCATTTTCTGTCGTATAAGTCAAAAATGCAAATTACATATAATGATAAATTCAAGAGCATAAGAAAGATGATTACACAGATTCTCTCCAAAATCTAGATTTTTTCTTAAAGTTTAAAATTGATGTAGCGAAAAGAAAATAAATTTACAAAAAATTAAATGAATGAATGGATCTATGTCTCTATTTAAAAAGTCGAAAATTGAATACTGGATAATGATAAATCGAATAATAAAATCGGATATCTGGAATAATTTCCAGCTTCCCTATTTAAAAATATACATAACAAGTAGATGAGTTCACCTTCGCAGATCGCCCTTCTTCAAAGAAACAGGATAAATGCACAGCTTTCGAATAAAACCGTGACATATACCAAACTGTATCGCACGTCTCTCGTCAACATTGTACCGCCTAGGTGACATCCTTTCGCACCAAACTTTCATTGTCATACCTGTCTGAAAATGAAAGTAAAATATGTGGAAATGACTTAGATATTACACAACATAACGGAAATGTAAATCTTGATTTGCAACCCTAGTTAAAAACATTGTTATCGAATTAGCATTAAAGAACATACCTTTAAACTGGCATACAATCGAAACACATCGGAAAATAAAGGTTTTGGACCTGAGCGTTCTCCTTCATTGTTGAGTGGCCGTATAAAATCCAAACATTTATGAAATGATCAGTAAGTAAATTAAACTCATACTAACAGCGATTATTTGAAAATGAAACTTCGACCTGGCAATAACAAAAAAATACAGAAAATGTACTTAAGAATATAATTTCTTTAATCAACATTAAGTAAAAATGAATGATCTACAGAATTGGGAGAAATATGACTGTTGTGATTGAATTCTTGTGTATAAATAGAAAGCTGTTTTCGTATATGCCCAAATTAATTGAAATTTATGGAAATTGAATTCTACTCGATTCTAGACTACAAGGAAAGCAAGATATTAAAAAAAAAGTATTGGAACACTAACTTCGATGAGATCAGCATTCATATAAAAATCATGTAGCTGTTCGGTAGCAACATAGGTATTAGCATACATAAAGAGAGGTATCAATGCTAGGCAACCGTAGAAGTGCAAATTACGAACGCATCGCATTACGAGATCAGTATCTATTTGCACCATCATGGCAATTTCCTGAATGCAACGTACACCATCCACTTGGGGACAAATCTGAAACCAGTGATGAGTTTTTCGCCAAAATTTAAATCATTATTTTTCCAATGGATGCTAATAAAATGTGCTTCTTCATCGATTTCATCTATTATTTTCAAGCCCATTTATTATCTCTACAATACACAATTTCCCCAGTATATTAGCTGGAATAACTGTAGCTAACAACGTGCCAGTAATGCTGCATACTAGTAAGTTTTAAATGAGGCAACTTTAGTGGTTTCCAATTACCATATACTTATAAAGCATATTAGTAGCTGAACAATAAAGTGAACATTATATAAGTTGAATATAAATGCTGCATCACTGTCAGCTGCTATGTAGCAGCAGTTGATAATATAATAATGAAAGTAGTATGATATGCATTGGATAATATGATTGTATGTTAATGCAATTATATATTTTTGATGCACAGAGTAAACATTGCTCTAACAAAGTTACTGTTATAGAAGCTATTACATGCTACAAAAATATCATTTGCATCGTAAACTCAACGACTAACAGCAAAAATATCTGAAAAATATAGAATTAAATAACATGCAATGGATCAGCATAATGAACGCATACCTTTTGCGAGAGAACATCCATTCTTGGGATATGATTTGGTGTATTCGGTGGTGGTACTTGTGTGAACATTGGGACCATATATGGCTCCACCTGAGAATAATGATTGTTATAGAAATTTCTTTTTAAAAAGTGTTGCACAAATCTTTTTTTTCAAAACTTTCTTTAATCCAAAATACTTGGATGAAATTTTTAGGTATGATCGCTAGCGCATAATTTGCTGAATGCCACTACATGAGAACATAATCGATTGTACTGGAAAAATTCATTTGAAACATCTAAGCTTATGCCAGCCTGAACTTCAGCAATCAAGAAAGGACCATCTGCAGAAATAAATGAAATTTTGCATTTGAAGATAACTCAAACAACCCACCTTAGGTGGCTCAATACCATGAAACGAAGGGCACAATTTTAAGTATATAGTTGTCTGATCGGTAACAGGGATTTTACACTGACCTGGAAAAAAAATTCCGTAATTAGAAAGAAAACGGTAATTAGCTATAAAAGCAGCATCACATAATAATATATAGTTCTTCATTGTCCACAATAAATTCGCTAATTAATACACACTTTTTTCTAGTTCTCAAATAAGGACCAATAAAATTGTTGCCTTTCTCGTAACGCGTTGTTATACAAAGACAAATGCGGTAGATTTTTGTTGTGTGAAAATATCTGTGAACTTCGATACTTTCAATTGAATACATAAGCAGAAACCACCACTTACACTGACTAGCGTTTGAAAAAATAGAATGTCTTATAAGGAATAAAGTCAAATTTGGCATTTAAAAACTGTGGTAAAAGTGAGATTGTTCTTAAAAATTCTTCAATGTATGGACAAAAATGGCTTATCGTTAAGAATTCAATAAAACTCTTTCTTATATGCCAAACACAGCCATCTCTAAAACGGATGCATCTAAAACTCTTTACATCCAGCTGAGTAAAGCTTCATAACTACCACCTAATTTATCTATTGTAGGAAAAAATTTGTCATAAACCACAAGTATCGTAGTATCCCTACCACGAAGTCTATCAAAGGGGGGAAAAATGATACCAGCGATAATCCAAACCTTATTTTAGTAAAGATGCAACAGGGAAGTTAAAGGAAACGTCTTTTTCCTAACTTCATTGAATTTATATATCCCTTAGAAAACATTAAATCCATTATCACATTAGTTAAACATCATTAACACTTCCATCCTATATAAAAGTTTTTAATCTATCAAATATCAAAGCAAAATTCCCCAAATATACTGGATTGAAATAACAAAATATTTTCGAAATTTGCTGATTAAAATCGCTAGTATTTGACAAGAAAACATATTGCCGTATGAAACAATTCAGACCCTATATCCCTAACAGTAATATAACAAATGGATTCAAATTCAAACGTGAAAATTAAAATTAAAATTCAAAACTACAGGTGCGCTCTGCTATAGTTAAAATTAACTTCTATTCAAAAAGCATATATGCAAAATCTCCGTACCATGTTCGTTAAGACCTTCGAATATGTTCAGCAATAAACCAGGTAGTTTGTCCTGTGACTGTGACAAAAAACGCGTATCCTGAATATTTTTATTTATATTCTCGCTTACCAATCCAAAATTTTTAACCCAAATATCTCAGTACCTAAGACGTCATTCACCTTTTCCATTTGTGTTAAGTAAGCCGCACATTTCTGCACCATCGGTTCATACATGCAATCAATCTGACTGCTTTTGTCAACCACAAAACAGACATTGAATATATAGCGACCGCGAGCATATGAATCAGACTCTGAAATATTTATATATCTATAGGAATATGCTTCCCTTACACAAATACAAATATTCTGCTAAATTAAGGAAAACCGAATGAGCTTAATACATTTCTAGAACAGAATACTAAATCAGTGTTTTCTATATTTGCCCAAAATCTCAAACACCTAACCAATAAATGAAAACAACCATGAACAATCAAATACGAAACAAAAAGCCACCTAACATAGCAAGACAATATCCTAATTATCTTTTTGAGAAAAGTTTTTCAAACAAAAAACAGGCAAGAGTGCTCTTATTTTCTTTGAAGTTATTTGTATGAGACTAATGGTTTTCCTAATAATATTAATCACTGTCAGGAAACAATAACATATTAGCCATTAAGCCCATTTCTAGGACAACGGCCTTAAACTTTTTAGGACATGGAGTTCATTGGTCAAAAAATCTTTTTATTCACTTTTTCCCCTAAAGTTACTTTTCTTTAATGATTCGCCACATGTAAATGTTATATCTCGAAATACTTTTAACAATTTTTAAGATGGCTCACGATGTGCATTGTCAATATTGTTGCAAAACATTTACAAAGCATGTCTCAGGAAAATTACTTTGCTTTTTGAGTATATAACAACAACTCTTACATGAAATACTTCCAAATTGAAAAGAAAAGATGAATGATTACCTAGGAAAGTTACTTATAATAAAAAATCATTTCGAGGTACGTATAAATCAAAGGAATCCCTTTCTTGGATTTCAGAAGACCCAAGACTTATTTCATGTCTTAATTCATTACTAGTAACTGCAGAAAAGCTTCTATTAAAGTTAAATAACCATTAATTTAAAGACTAATTCTAGCTTCTACAGCATTTTCATAACCAACAGTAGAACTAACCGATACCAACAGGATGTCCCATCACTTTGTATACTTTCCCATCATTATTTTCAACATGGTTCACTTTGATAAGTCGATGAAAAAGTTCTGGTTTAGGTATGATTGCATTTGAAAATGTATCAAATCTTTTTGTGTCGAAAAGGAAGTCGGGTACCTGTAAAGCCAATGACTATTTAACCAGCAACACTTTTCAGGGATCCCTTGATAAATGCAACATAAAATGAGGTATAGCACTTCTAGCTGTATCATTCGGCACCGTAGGGACTGGAGCTAGATATTTTTGTGAGAACGAAAAGGAAAGAAGTTCTCGACTAACTTGTATTCTAATCACTGGACCTTTATCTGCATCGAATTCGGCAAAAATGATAGCTTTCAGCTTTGGCAGATTGATCAATTGAGAAAGGTAGGTACTTGTTGCAGCATACATTACGACAATCGAAAATTATATGACCTAGAAGTTGAGTTCCAAGGTTCTCACGGATATATTTCACTATAAATGAAGGATTTCGAAGTTTTAAAAGTTTGGAAATTTTCGTCAGCGTCCACTCATCTACTGAAATATGACACTGAAACGCTTTAACATTGAATAATTAAATAATTATCAAATTATATGATCTTGAAAACTGAAGCTCCAGCACCGAAAACAATCGACACAAACCATTAAAATTATACAAATTTCTCTAATTTTCCTTGCCTTCCCAAATAAGAAAAAAGAATTTTATAACTACTGGTCATACATCCAAGAATACCACCAATCACTGCACCGAAAACGCACGGAACAGGCCAACGCTGAAGAACATTTAACACGTAAATTATTATTTAAAAAAAAGCAATAATAGAAATATAATTAGCACATTAGTCCGGTAATTACCGGAAGATGGCTTCAACAAATAAAAAAATTATTAAAGGGTTTTGGTGAATACTTCGAATTAATCGAACAGAAATACATTTTGCGAAGAAATCTGGCAAATTACCTGCCACCAGCGATCCCAGTCGAATGGAATAACAAATGCTCCGAACCACGCACCGAAAATACCACCAAGGGATAAGTGACGAGCAAGCGAACACTTATGTGATAACTGCCTAAACTTGTTGAGCATAACACACTAAGCTGATTCCATAACTGGTAACAACTTCATATAAAAGATGCAGCACATTTTCTTCTATCTGTTCAATGAATTCCCATAGTATCTAACGCATCAATTCCAATAGCAAACACAAAATACACATGTAATTAAATGGTAAATTAATATAAAATTACAAACATAAGTAATAAGAAACTATATTTTCTTCTTGCGGACGGTGTCTCTCTCATCTTTTTGCATCTCTTCACCTGTCATAAAGATTATATTCCAGAGAAAAAAAACGATTTTCCTCGAAATTTTTAAAGTTTTCCCTAAAATTTCTTACGACTTAATTTTAAAGCATATGTGCTTTCAAACAAACCATTTACGACTTTAAATTTATTACCACAATTATGCAAATTAAAGGAAGTAAAACCTCTCGCCAAATAAAATATTAATCAAACTGTCGAAGTTTTCAGCAACTAACAGCAATGGAAATATACTCACTATTGCAAGCACTACCGAAAAGACGAAATTTGCTCCAAAATGGCTGAAATTATTGATCTGATGTAATTAGGACACAAGCACTTATGACATGCATTCTAAGTTCTGTGAGATGGAGATGATATACTTCTGTAGTTTTTAGAAGAACGAAGCAAAAATTAATTAACCTTAAAAGTGGTGCTCCCAATAGAACTGCTGCAGCATAGACAACAATGACACCTAAGGCGGTACAACTCACAGCGCGACTCAATTTCATGGAAAAAGTAATAACCACTTAGCTTCTGGTTGGGCGAGTATTGTTCGACTGCTACTATACATGAGAGAATTTAATAAACAATTAAAATGTTAATAACTCGTTAGATGTAAGACCGACACTACAGCAGAATAATAATACAATACACTGATAAAGTGTGTTATATTAAAAAAAAAAATTTACATCTCACATTCATACGACAGACGCTAAGAGAGCAGATTTTAAAAAAAGGAATTCACAGCGAATTATCTGCACAATACAATACAGGAATGAACACTAGCAGACAATCAAAAAATAATTATAACTCTGAAAGAATATTTCTGAGAAATAAATACGTCGAATACAACAATCTTGGAGAGGGAACATAAGAGTGAAGCCCTTTTCAAGTTAAGAAGTCATCAGTGACGTCGAAGGTGTCAATGTAATGGATCACACATGTTCGAAAGGTGCTTCAGAGACAAGCCGAGACAGTCACAGTAAAAAGCTGCATTGCATCGAACTTAATTTTACGAAAGAGGACACATCACAATATGCCTCGGAATTCCATTCCTGGATGGATAAGACATAAAAGGAATCTGAAAAGTAATCCAAGACCAGTGCACTCGTTAGACAACACTCATGGTTATAGTCAAGTCTGGTTCGGCAAATCGTTGTTTGCGCTAGGCAACAATGTCCATTTTGAATTATTTTGATTGAGTCGGTACGGAATTCCTGGTCCCATTTTTTATCATCACTTAGATAATAGAGATAGAATGCAATAACTTCAATGGGAAAATTCTTGGATTGAAGTTTTTTAATTCGTCATTTATACTTTTATCTTTTTTATTTGTTCATTTGAAAAAGAAAAGGAAGGCTGATGTGCTATATTCACTTTTTATTCCACTGCTTTACCGAATACAACTTTTTTAAAAAAATTTTTCATTTAAATTTCTGCTTTCTTGGAAACTTGTTCAGTACAGTGATAGGTAAAGCTTTGAGTAAAAAGTCACCATGATAAGGCTATGGTTATAACAAAAATTCATTTTTAACATGAAGCTAAGTGAATCTCTTCAACAGTTTTAACAATAATTCAAGAAAAAAAGCATTGCAAGTAATAAGCTTTGTAAATTTTCAAAAGAAGTTCATTTAAGATTATTCATCCATGTATATAGTACCTTATTTCTCTGAAATTTATTCATTTCATTCAGCGGAAACTTACACAAAATACTTTGAGGATAAATTTGAAGGCGAGGAAGTATCGAAACCGCTGAGGCCAGATGTTTTCATTTGAAAATTTCCGATAATTCCAGGTCGTTCGAAATTTGAAATGTCTTTTCATGTATTTAAATGATTTCAACTCGAAATTCTTTTTGTGAATCTTCTACTTGTTGTATTTTTACAGAAGACTATTCAAGTGGTGGTATCAGTTAAATTGCGTTAAAATTTCTTCTGTATTTTTACAGAAGACTATTCAAGTGGTGGTATCAGTTAAATTGCGTTAAAATTTCTTCGACCGAAATTTCAATTTGAAATTTATAAACATAATTTCGAACATGAAAACTTATTTGTAAGGCCAATTGAAGTTAATTTTTTTTGTAATTCAAACCATTCTGTTGTTAACTTCAGCATTAAACCTTCATGCAATTCGCGCCTGACGTTATCTTCCTTAAACGACTTCATTGTAACTTTTGTATTACTATGGAGCGTATTGCAGCTTGTGCGCTGAGTGTAATTTTAGTTACAATTTATCCTTTCTTTTCATTCCGCCTGTCTGAGAGTTAGGTTCTGATGGCGATATTGAGAGAAGGAATTCATCCACGGTGTTTAGTGCAAAAATTTCATTTATCGATATAAAGGATGAAGATCTGTAGAAAAACTCCCGAGTGTTTGTTAAAAAAATTCAAGTAGCTCTTCTCGCTGCTTATTCACTTCATCCTACGTATAAAATAAGAGCATGAAATACAACCATATAACAAAAGCATGTGCTGTAAAAACGGTGTAAGTCACAAGATTACTGTAAAACATTTAGTAAGCCAAATTACTGTAAAAAGTAGTGCGAAGTAAAAGATTACCTAAAATTTTTGATGAATTTTAGCTTTCTTACTATAACATGTGAGTTATGAATTTCTAATTTCACTTCAAACATTCTCTTCATCAATTTTTTATTAAAACCGGGACGACTCGTGTTCAAATGGATATTTTTAGTTGCAAATTTTAGAAAGGCACAAAAAATTTGATGTGAAGTAAGCTGAAATTGTCAGTTGCTTTTGCTTTAAACATTTTCTTTTATAATACTAACATAGAAACTTTAGACAATCTTTGGACTAAATTTTAATTTTAGTTAATTTTAATTTAATCCATATATAAAAATGTTTACTTATATATAAGATAAATGATATATCTGGTATATAAATAAACACTAATGAAGGATAAGTAAAAGTAGCAACGAACTGTTTAGTTCTATAACAAAATAATATAATTCAGGATTGCACAAGCGACCAATGTATCTTATACTTTAAAGAGAGCTATCACTATCTAACACATAAGCATAAGGTGATTATACTTAATTGATTAAATGTCATCGCGTTTGATAGCACGAGAGTATTATAATTAATAGTAATGTAAATGTTTATCTTAAGTTCAATCTAAAACACTGTCATTTATTAATTAGACTAGATAAAGAGAAAGATTTTTCCTTCATTTTGAATGATTTAATCATCTTCTGACATCCACTTGTTGATACTACTTTCCAGTAAAGAAGAATCTTGTTTAAGGAAGCCATACGATCACTGCGATTAGCTATCATAAAGCAATCAAATGCTTTTGATAAGCTATCATTTACCTGCAAATATTCAGTAATCTTATTACTAAAGTAGTTCTCGTTCAAACATTATATCAATGTCCAAATATTGACAGTTACTAGAACATAGAACAAAAACTTTTATTAGTGTAATATCTGCAATCTGTTAATATCTACAATCTCATAAAACTATCACTTAATAAGAGAAGTTTCATATTTCAACCTGTACTGAATACTATTTAATTAATGCAACACTGATATGTAAAGAGATCTGAAGGAAATTTAGAAGCACTTCCCTACTCTTTTTAGTGTGCGATGTAATAAATTTTTTGTTGGAGCATTCACATTGACAATAAGGACACCTGAAAGTTCTCCTTCATAACACTTCTCAATTTTTTATTGCTTATTGAAATGTAAGTTTTCAGTTGTTTTCATAAAATTAACATTTAAAGGAAATTAAATTAGCAGTATTAAATGAACTAAATTTATTTTCGATACTGCGGTTATTAATATCTTTTCTCTCGCTAAACTTGAAAAAAAATTTAAAGAACATTCTTAAACTTTTGAAATATTCGATCAGGATAAAATTTGCATTGACAATGTCAAATTTTCGATATCAGCCCTCAGTTTATTGAAAAAAAAAAAAAAAAACAGTGAACCATTTTCAAATGTTTGTCACATTCTACACATAACTGAATGTTAAAGTTAATGTTGAAATATGTGCAAATGTATGGTATATGTTACATAAAAGAAAAAAGGACGATATTAATTTCGAGATTAAAGAAAGTTCACCTTTTTTTTTGAGTGTCTTATTTAGTTGTGCAGCTGTTTCAATTGTTTGTGATGGAGGACAAATAGCATTGAGACAAGTGTCAATAAATATTGCATTGTAGTCTTCCTCACCTTAACAAACAATTTGTACTGATTTTTTTAAAATTTCATCCGGAATATTTGAGATGATAATTACCATTTCATAAATGACTGTTAGGTCCAAAGTTAATAATACTAAGAGTCTTTAAATTCGAGATTTTCTTATTCAAACAATAAAGTCAAATATTTGTACCGTTGAAAAAATTTCAAACTTTTCCCAAACTTCTTTGGATTTTTTGCAAATTCAAAACTTTTGAAAAGCATTTTCGATACAATTGTTCGTGCTAACTTCACGTGATACAACATTCACTTTTGTGGTTAGTTTATTTCTATTTCCAATCACTTGAAAAAGATTTTCTACAGCATTTTGAACTACCGAAATTAGACTTATCGTTTTGATCTAAATATCGCATATCAATGGTTGTATACAGAACTGGTGAAATCACTTACGTATATCAGAGACAGTGACATGATTCCAAGTTGGATTTCCTAACCATACTTTGTTCAGATATTGATCCTTTTCAACAACAACAAGCTCATCGATTTCCACCTGCAGTAAACAATTGTTTCATTCTATTTCCGCCTTTTGCCAATGAGAGATGTTAGAAAAAGAATGAATTTATTAGGGTCAAAAAAGTTTGTAATTTGATCTCTTCAAATTGTCACAGTGATATGAGCTTTTGAATAAATAAAATGGCAATTGTAAAACAAAATGCACCGTTTCTTTGACATGAGTGAACGAGTCTTTTCTAATGAAAAAAATGTTTTTTACTCGAAATAAATGATATTCAATATAACTGGCGATTGACCGTGCTCCAATCCCAATGAGCAATACACGACCGTATTCAATACCGTTATCTACTTTACGTAGTGATCCGGTCAAAAATGGAACTGTTAGCATTATTTGTTGATAATCAGCTGGTAAAAGCGCCATTGCACGACATTGAGCTCGATTAAACCCTGCTAGCCATGATTCCCATCCTGAATTTATATTCTTTTCCATTTATCTTCTTCATGTGATATTTGCCTCCTTTACAAAATTAACTTCTTCTCGTTCTTCGTTGCAACAAATTAATTTTGCTTACAATTGAATAGTCATTCTGTTTCTTAATTAAAGATGAAGTTGGCCAAGTTTTAAGTTAAGTTACATTTGTGGGTTGGTGCGATACACTAGGTATAGTGGACTATTGCATTATTTCGTGTCACTTATATACAACATGAATTAGAGCATGTATATTTAAGTATAAATTTTTTTGTATTCCAGAAAAATTTTGATTTCGATGTGGAATCAAAAACCTGTAGCTGCTTGCAGGATTACTTGAGCAATAACAAAATCAGGAAATTTTTCCGGCACAAGAGTACGGAGCACCAAATCCCTGGCAATAACAAATTTATTTTTAAAAACAAATTCGTATGCATAGACATCATTTGTTTGCTCGTTTTGAATAATATATATTAGACTTACTGTTCTCCATCACCAATTGTTTCATCTTTGATCAATAAACACACCAGAGACTCTTTGGGACAAATCTTTTTGACCGCTATCATTTGTTTTTGTCTAATATTTTTGAGTTGTGCTACCATTAACGATATCTTTAAAAAAAAAGCATTCCTTTTTTGTCTTCCGGAAAATCATCATATAAACCACTCTTCATATCCTAATCACTATAAATAGGATTCAGAATTAAATTTTGAACTAATAAATCAAGCCGAAAGTTGTTAATCTCTTGAATTTGTATAACTTCACAATTTTACTGGTTAAAAATGTAAATCTATTGGACCAAAAAATTCAAACAATATTTTATGCTGCAGCAGTAGAAAGATCATTTCAGATGCACAAAACTATACTTTTTGTTGTATAGTGAAAGACAAATAGAAAAATGTCAACCTCGACTATATCAGTAAGCAGCTTATTTATTAGTACAGGTATGAAATTTTCAGAAGCTCTAGTCAGGTGTAATCCATCTGAAGCATGGATGCGGTAAATTTATCACAGTTAAAATATACCAAACTGCTGAAATTTTTGGATCCAATACAGTTAAAACTTCTTTGCTCAATCATTTGGATACCGTCTTAGGGATAGCAATCCTTGTGTGACAAATTATTAAGTTTAGAACGAAGTAAGTGGTAAAGACGATGGAATGATCGACGAGAAAAAGAGAAAAGAAATTTAAAGTGAGTAATATATAGCGAATATTTATGAATCGACTAAAAGAAGTTTATTTCCTTTTTAATCACTAAACTTAGAAACTAAATGCAAACCACGATAATAAAGGAAATCAGAAGTGTTGCTTTCAAATGTTTTTTGGTTGAACGAATGTGCTCAATCATAAATATTGTCATTAATCCTTCACAAATCTGCGCATGAATTTGTCGTGCGAGCATTCTAAGCAATGAATTTCCTGACAGTGAATGTCCAAATATATAGATACTACAATTTAATGTAAATTCCTTATCACAACATTTACCAATTGTCATGAGATAATTTCTTTTCAGGATTCATTGAAGTTACGTCAAATAAATTATAACGTAGAAATAACTTATGCAATAGAAAAGGTATGCCTTCAATTTCAATCCATTAAAAATAAACGTATTTATTGAATTTCGTTTATCTACTAATCGATTTATTAACAATATCTTTAATACCGTTGCTGAATTCACTAACTTGTATTGCATAACTTGTAAGAATAATATAGCATTAATGTTTTATGAAGAAATTTAACATGGCAACTGTTAGGATACGATGTCTTCGAAACTGAATTCACTAGTTAGTTTGAGTAGACATATTAAAATGAAGTGATTTAAAGTTAAAAATCAGTAGTATTATGCTCCTTATCACTTCTTTATCCATGGACAAGATGAATTGGTTAGCCTTCTGGCATCCATCTTAGGAAAAGGACAATTCTAAACCTTCCAAACCCAGGCAAATGGAGCTCGTTTAGCTCTGTTAACAAAACCTACATCCTAAGGACTTTACTGTTATCATTCCAACTCGTTACGCCCTGGCAAATGAAATTTAGAAGTATAAGGTTAGGTTAGTTTCGTGCACGTTGTACCTTACCTAAGAAATCTATTGCACAGGCTCAAAGGATATATTTACATTTTTAGCGTTTGCAGCAAAGGTAGGTAGAGTAAGCTCTTTTAAATGTTCGTTTACAAAACCCAACCATGATGATAATGATGATACTTGTTGTAAGATTCATTACACTTATGATGTTGAGCAATAAACTGATGAACTGACAAAGCTATATAACTCAAAACTTCAGCTTAACAGTATTGGCCTTGCACAATTGCAAGATTTCTGAATCTATTCAAGTGATTCCATGTTATGTCATGGATTCTAATTTCATTATTATTCCTCTGCTCAGTGAACTATTTAAAAAAGCAAATCATTTTAAACAATCAAATTATTTAAGCAGAATTTTCAAATGAATAAGTAAGTTCAAGAATATAAAAGAGTGAAGAAGCATGCAATGAAGGCAGTGGAGATAGCTTAAAATCTGCGAGTTTGATCTACTCTCGCAGCTTTATAAACTACCTCATCAGCCTCATGCAATTGGAAAGTTAAACAAGATTCATAAGTCTAGTTTGATAATTTAAAATCAGCTCAAAATACCACTTCATATATTTCATTTTCTTTACATTTATTTTGGTACTGTAATTCTGACAGTGCTCTAACATTTTTGACGCACAATATCCACCTTTTACTGAGTCTTGGAAACAACAGGAAAATTTCTACATGACTGACATTCTGTCGCATGCATTTCCAAGCACTTTTTCATGAATCCTACTTACTTTGTTGTAATGTGGTAGTGGTTGATTGTATCATGTCGCAGATATCACCACTAAAATATTCAATTTGAAGCTATGAATATAGAACATATTATTGTTTCAATCATAATTGTTTTAACTCGTTTAATTAGCTAATTCTAGGACTGATTGCATCATGTCGCGAATACCACCACCCGGGAGAAACAGGATTAAGAAGAATGTGAACTTGATCTGACATTCAACTGCAGTTAGTACCACTGAGAAGGTTGCATTGATGTGGTATGTTAAGCAACTTTTGTCTTGCTAAACTACTCTATCATAAGAGAAACTTTGCCATCATTTCGGAAAATAGGAATGAAAAAGCAATGAAACGAATAAAATGATAATAAAGTGGGACAAATGCTGAACCAATGAGTGGAAAGGAGGTTATCTCTATGCATTCAGGGCGTGGTTTTGGCAATTTTTGAGCGTAGTCTCTTCAAATAACTACGGTAATTCTCCATCAGGTAATTGGTTGACAGCTTCACTTAAAAGCCTAAACTACCAGCTATTTGGGGCGCAAGTAACCATTTGCTAATTGACTGACAGCCTATTTTACTGGATTACTTTCGTTGCCACAAAACCTTTATGATAAAGTATTTGCTTGATGAAACGTTCATAAAAATCTTTCATTTGACACTTCCTCCTCATCTGCTTAATATTTATGTGCAGCAAATATCCATGCATTTATTATTCATAGTATCGAAGCGCAAGCCTTATACAAAGCCGCTAGAAAGTGGACTTCAAATTTTCAACAATGCCTTTTCCAGATTTATAATTATTTGATATCTAATTGGATATTTTTTAATTAAATTAGAGTTTGCAATGAGAATCTGATCTGCACAATAATCATCTTTCCCTCGACACTATCTTAATTTCGGCATTTTAAAAAATTGGTCATTATGATAAGTGGTTAGAAAAGTTATTTCCACTTAATTCTGGGACTCTCGATCTCCTCCCTTTCCATACCTTTTAAAACTTGCTGGCGCAGCACAATTATATTACTGGGCATATTCACTAAAGAAATTGAGTTATTAAAAAGATAGAAAAAATCTACAATAAGACAACAAATCAAGTGAACATTCGAGAGTGGACAGTGGACATTTGTGCATTATGCACTCAACACAGAAAATTTCGAGCTGATTTCGAAAAATATCAGGGACAGGAAAATAGGATAGAACCATTTGTGGTGCAAAACGATTTCTGATGTTTTCTTTTATTTGAAGTTTCTACCGGAAATTTTTGTGCTTAGAGTTTTTAGCACTAATTAGCCTTGCAATGAAGAATTTGGTGAAAAGATATTACAAACATTGAATCAAATGAACAAAAAACGAGTCTAGTCTCGATCGATGATGCTAACTTTCTGACAAGGAAGAAATTGAAATTTCAATTATCACATTTTTTTTTTTGGGAAGGTGAAGAATAGGACAAATAAAATATTCATTCTTGGAGAGTGGAGAGGAATGTTTTACTGACAATTAAATTTCACAACAACAATCGATTATCACTGATAATATTTCATGTCTACCTACAACACTTTACGAATATTCTTAATTATTGCATATATCCTATCTATAATTTTCAATTATTTTATAGGATTTTGTGCATTTGTGCAAAAGAAAGTACAGAGAAAGAATGAAGATATTACAGTATGCTTGTTCCATGCCGCCTCTGCAGAAACAGGCGTACTGTAATACAGTCTGCATTACAGTACAGGTTGGTACTTATTGAGTAAGATTGAAGGAGAGAGGTTAGTATCATGTTAATGACTTTGCAGTATGGTTTCTTGATAGAAATAGAGAAAAAAAAAGTAGAAGCAAAGAGAAGACAAAATTGAACTAGTACATGCAGTCTTCAATCTACTCGCTTTCACCAAATTGATAGATAGCGCTCCTTTATTTGCGCCATGTTAAGGGGATACATTACCACTCAATCAATTTCTCATCCGTCTGGTTATTACAATTCAATTTCTCCTTCATCCTCTTTTTGAGCTAATACAAAAATACCACAATCAAAGAGAAAGGTTCAACTAAAATCAAATTATGATTTAAAACGCCTGGAATAATAAGAATAAAATTGGAAATATTCATCTATGTTGTATCATGTTAAAAGCCATCCTGAAATACAAATTCAAGCTAGGCTGATAGAAAAGATCTAACAAAATGTATTGATTTTAAAAAGTATAACTGCAATAAGTATAACTGCATATTAATCTTATGTTTGTCAGCCTGAACTCCTTAATTATGCCCACAACCCCTTAACTATTCTCAATGTTAAGTTTTAATTCGATATGGTGAAGGTCAGTTTGTGTTTTATTCTGGATGTCCTTTTATACTAATTGTAATAAGAACTAATTCAATGCAATTCTTCGTAATCATTGAATAAAGCAAGGTTAAATGAAGAAGTAAGATGAAGTAAAGTGAAAGAAATTTTTGCAACCCCAAGCTTTTACTTTTGATTTTCTGGTAATATCAGTTTCATTTTCCAAAATTCTGCAGAAAGGGTTAGTTTAAAAGATAATCTTCAGAAATTGCAAAAGCAATGAAATGCATTTACAGAAAAAAAAAAATGAAATAGCATGAAAATAATATAACTTTCAGAGCCACTCTTTTTTATTATAAAATTTTATTGAATTCCAATGGCGATGAACAAGATCAGATCATACATCAATATTTTGAAATTAGTCTGCTATTGAACCACCTGACCTTGAGTGCTAACTAAGATTTTCAGCTTTCAAGTTTATGAAGAATCAGAAAATCATATTTATTTATCAGACTTTAAAACTGGATGGAACTAATCTACTGGGTCAATAGAAATTATCACGATTGTCCTTTTTCTTATATCTAAATTCTAATTTTCAAACTGGTCTCTAAAATTCGTTTGAATAAAAAGAAAAAAATTGTTCTACTGGAATCTCGTAGAAATTAAATCAGACAAGGAGGAGAAAGAGAAGGAAAGAGAGAGAGAGAGAGAGGTTTCGACAAACGATGAGTACCCAGATTGTTGCTTAGATACTCATTTTCACTTCATTCATTTTCTTCTTATCCATTTATCAACTCTCTGGCAACGAATCGTCAATCACGTTAGGCTAATATTCAGCAGTTTCTTCACACGGCACACTTAAAGTTTCCAGAATATGTTTTACTGTAATTCTTCATCACTCGGTTTTTGGTGTCTAAGTATGATAGAAAACATTTTGGCGCTAAGATGAATTACTAAGAATCAAAGATGAAAGGGTTGCTTCCGCTTCTTGTCCAGTCCGAGAATAAGACGAGAAAAAAAAACAGGAAATAATTTTAAAGGAGACTGATTATTTTGATAGAGAGGACTGGTTTCGGTAAAAAAAAAAGAAAAAAAACAAGTCAGGGGAAGGTCAACCAGCGAAGAGAAAATACTAGAGCTGCAAAAATCTGTACATCTTGCAACCAGCTATTCCATCCGAAAATGCATTCAATTTTCATGAAGGCCATAGTCTCACATTGACACCTGCAAAAATGCAGTGGATGAAATATAGTAAAAAAAAAAAGAATCGTTTAAGAAGGTTGTAGAACCTACATTGACAACTCCTTCCAGACAGAAATTTCTTTTTTTTTTAATATCTATATCAGCGCAAAGTTAACTCTGAAAAGCTAACTATCAATTTAATATACATTACTATACTTAGACTAAACTCAAAATAATAAAAATAATACTAGCTTATTAATAAAAACTGTGACCGTTCAGTACTGTCAATTTATTTATTTTAAAACAGTCTATAAGCATTTAGCAAATAATAAAACAATAATGAAGTTAAAATTGATCCCAAATTTATTCAGGTACAGAATAAAGGGAATTGCTTTTGGATCCAACAAATGAACATGTTTGAATAATTATTTTGTTTATCTCATCTTTCAAATTTGTAAAGTATGCAAATAGTTTTGGAAAAATTTTGGAAGATTTTGATTAAATTTGTTTACGAGTTTACGCTATTATATCAGTGTCAAACATTTGCGAAGCATTTTAAAATTGCTAAAAAGAAAGTACCAAAATTTAAGCAAATAAATACGAAGGAAACAGTATTTTGCACAAAAAAAATGTCTGTCCCGAAAGAAAAATCCACTTTTATTGCATTTTTTGCATAGGAAAGTACCAAACATAAGTGCTGCGTTGTACCATTTATTTAGTTTAGCCAAGAACATTTCTCTTATTTGTTAAAAATGATACAAGATCAGGCCAATCGACAAGTCATACCATCGAGACTTGGAAAAGGATGTGTTCCCGAAGTAGCCAATGGATAGTAAAAAGAAGAAAAATCAAAATTTTTACGAATTAAGATGAAGAAAATGTGATAGTGATACTATTAAAGAATAACTTTTCACATTGGAAGAGTGGACTGAAAACGAATCTGCAACTATAATTTTGAATCAACAATCAACTATGATTTTTTTAGCAAATATTGCAAATGAAATAATCAAAGTGAAGGAAAAAAATGGATCCACGTCAACCGAGGGAAAAACAGGAAATGTCAGAGGAGTTCTTAAATTTTACTAAGAATTTAAATCAATATCATCAATATGAACTAAAATAATAAAGACTGGCTTCACAAAATTCATCATTACGTACGACTCTTCGAAAGGAAGAAAAAATTTGCATGTTGCATTAAACTAGTCTAAATTCTGACAACATGTAAGTGAAAAGGAGACGAATAACTTAGAATCACTGAGATAGGGATGTTTTAGAAGTTAAAAGTAACCTAACAATTTCCAGTTGTGAAGCCAACTTTGAAGTGTTCTGAAGTATTTAACATGCAAAGCACACCGGGCTAACATGACTACATGCAGTACTGTATAGGGTTGAAATTCCACTGGTTGTGTTCAACATGCAGTTATATCGTATTTGCCCTCACTTCCAATCATTGGAATGTAGAAGTGGTGAAAAATTGAAGCTTAAGGCCAAAACGGTAAGTTTAAGGCTGTCTGATTATATTGGCCCAGTGATAACGTTGAAGAGAAGAGAGGAAGAGAATTGACAATGTAACACGAGGAGAGAGAAGTATCAGGTCACGAGACATTTTCTTCATGCATTATGGGAATGAACGGATGGGAAAAGAGACGGAGGTACAGGGACGAGATGAGATTGAGGGGGAGGATGAGATAGAGGAAAAGGGGAAAGGGAGAAAAAGGGAGAGAAGAATCATGCAACTCATAGTATGTATCGGAAGGGACGACTTCCGTCGATGTGTTGCTGTATTATTGCATAGGATGTAAAGGTATTGAGTGGAAGGAAACGGCCTGAATGAGCAAGGAAGGTAAGAGAAGAAGAGAAGACGGTAGGGCAGGGGAAAGAAGGACAACAATTCGGCAATGTGTCATGAGAGAATTTACAGAGAGAGAGAGGGAGAGAGTTGTACAGACTGGGCGTCCCTTCTCTGTCACCCCCAATACTTCTATCCATTTCGTAGAGTATTAATATTATAGAGGAGTGCTCGAGTATGGTACTGATGTACTCCTTCAAAGACAGAAACAAGACCGCATTGCCAAGCAAATCACACTTGAACGAAGAAAGTAAGGGAGGAAAAGAAGGAAGGAAGGATGATATGAATTGAGTTGAGTCGAATCGAATCGGATCGAATCGGATCGAGTAGAGCCGAACACACTGAGACAAGGCGTAGGGAAATGTACGACTACTGCCGTTTTTAATAATTGATATGGAGAGGACTGACTATGTGCGAGAGACAGAGCGGAGATAGGAGAATGGGAAAGGGAGGAAATGTAATGGGGAAATACTGAAATGAAATATCTTAGTGAAAGGCCCTGTGGAATAGAATAAACGAAATATTCATAAATCACTGGAATGATTGGTTGAATGGGCGGGGGTAGCGGTATACGGTTGCTTTCGCGACAATAGGATTGGGAAGAAGAGAGGGAGAGAAGACGCCAAAATCCCTGCAAAGAAAAGAGTCTGCCGTCGCACGAACGTCCAAAAAAAAATCCTTCTCTGTTTAAGGATGAAGAGAATGCTAGTATTATTGCTTTTCAGGCTTCCCTATCCATTATTAAACTCATTCCAATCCAAAATGCTATATCAGTTTTTCACTTCGACATTTACCTACAACTTGTTTTAATAGCTGTTGATTGTTCACTGTGCACTAAACATGTTCTTTGATCATCTGGCATATCAATAAATTTGTTCAAAAATTGCCGGGAATTTCATTGATCATCTCGTTGAGAATTTTGATTTGAAGAAGAAAACTAAAGATTTACGTGGATGTGCCAAATCGTGATCAAACGGGATGAAAGTGCTGTGAAACTGAATCATTCCATTTGCATCCATAGCCTGTTCGTTTACAAAGTTGCACGGAAATCATTCCAGTCCAGCTACATTTTTACTGGAATGATTATTGTTTGTCAAAGCCAAGCAGTTAAATAACTTTTCTTCAATACTTCGACAAGCAAACGTATTAAAAGTTACCAGGATTTTTAGCTCAAGCATTTCACATATTTGAAACGACATGTTAAAGGACCTAAAATATGCTCCACCGCAAAATTGCTATCATTTGGTTTTATAAATTAAAAGAGATCTCTAATTACAAGAGATCTCTGGACCATAACATGCGCTTTTCTGAAAATTTGTAAAATATTGATTTATTGTACTTAGTGCCCATCTCTCAAAATTCGCTTAGATTTCCCGAACTCAGCGGTCTGATCTTTACTATTTACGCTACAGTCACAAAGATACGTTGAATTCGTCACACTGCATCAATATCATTAGTTTTATCTTAATCTATATATTGCTAATTCAGAGCGTTATTCAAAGAATGCAGCAAAGAATCTAAAAGATTGAAATAACCTCAATAGTAATGCTTGTCACATCCATTGATTCATCAGTACAACTGCAGCTACACTCATTCCTGTCCAATTTTGTTATGTAATTTAAACTGTAAATACTCGGAATTTGGTTGTATTTAAGCGAGTAATTAATTAAAGATATCATAATATCCAAAAGTCACAAAGTTGATGCAAAGTTTTAGGCAGTGCATAACCTATGAAAGATATATATATTTTAAGAGACATGACGACATTAATTGTAATAGACAAATGTGTCGCTTTAATGAAATCTTGACAAATATTGCTTCATCATACCTGTTAAAATTACGCTCAATAACTGAGTCATTCGGGAATCAATCACATTATATTGCAATTGGTCTTCTTCAAAAATTCACACTTGTTCCATGCCTAGTTGAATATTTTCCCATTTCTTGGTGTTCATCACTAAATTTCTACCAGATTTGAATATTTATTTTACATTTCGAATAAAAAATCTATGAGTAAATTAGGATTCTTGAATTTTGATGTTAAATAGTTATGTTTCAAGTCTGTTTTACATTTTCAGTCTCTTTTCTAGGATTGAAAAAAAGATAGAAAGTCTGGGAAAAAATGATGAGCGGGATATGAGGACATGTGGCAAAGCTGAATGTATAAGAGCAAAAGGGGTATGATGATCCGGAAAAGATAAAAGATTTTGAATGAGTGCTCCCTCATATGATCGTATCGCAGTAATATCAAATGAATGGCTTAAAAAGTCTAAAGGATAAAGATTCGAGCACAGATACTTCATCATGATAAAATGATTTGCAAGTTCACTTTTTAACGACAACTGTTTAAGTTTCAAAGGGATTAAAAAAAAAGAGTGTATTAGGGACAGAAATTGCTAAAAATGTGCTGGCTTCAATCGGTTCTTTTCTCCAGTCTAGGCACAATCAATTATTCTTGTCTGTTTCCTCAAAAAGCGCCAGTCTCGTTTAACGCCTACGCAGTCGTCCTTTTGCTCTTCTTTGTTAAATATTAACAAAATGAAAGAAAAAAAAGGCCTTTTGAATCCAAGGGCACAGCAAAATTTATTAATGATAATGTTGGCGAGAGTGACGTCATTAGGATTTTAAATAAACAATGAATAATGTAAATCTCAACGAACAGGTAATAAATAGTCCATCCTATCCAAATGAATTGTCTTGCAAAAGCCAAACATAGCCAATAACTCCGTTTTAGTCTTATTGTTTAATTAGAAGATTCATCAGTATTTTATACAAATTTAACGAACCGATCATTCACAATTATTTCTGAATTGATGAAGTGAAATGAAACTTTGGGTAAAAGTATTATCAGGAAGAAATCTGCATGTGTTTTTTGTCCGGATGATCATTGCACCGATGCATAATCATTGATGTCCGCACGGCCTCATCACTTTTTCCATTAGCTGATAAATGAGCAGAACGCATCGAAGCCCTATATTCCACCTTTCTCCTCCACTTACAAATTAAATGCTGAATTATATTCTAACTCAGTTGTCTGTCACAAGCAATTCAACATTTAAATTTCAAACTAAAAAATTACTTTACGTAATCCATTGATACTTTGTACATGACGCATTGGAAAAACTTACTACATAGCATCGATCTAGCATCCGATTTACTCCGCAATCACCAACAGCTGTATTTTACTTCAAAAACTCTATTTTAATCTATTATAAATTCGTTGAACATTTATATTATTTTGTTCCACCAATCGCTTCCAACAATTTTTCAATTCTTCAGTCAATTTTAGGTACTTGATTCAAAAATCCTGGCTTTCTGTGTGGATTTTTGAATAACTTTACTGTAACTCAATATTTGCAATGATAAAGAAAGGGACACTACTAATGAGCTTTTAGCTAACCATTCTTTTGGTCACCACATTTTTTAGCCTTAATTTAAAAGATTATTAGACTATTAACAGTGCTAAGCTCCCTTCTCAAGATTAATTTAAAACTTGTTGCCATTTAAAAGAAAAAAAGTTGTATTATCTTTTAAAAACAGTCGCTAACCTTTATAACTGTTGTCCTAAAAGTGAAATAGCTTCTCTCATAGCACTTGATGGAAGTACTATTTAAAAAAAATATGTAGAAAAATTGAAGACAGAAAATATTCTTACTGTTTTCTATAAGACAATCATGCCATCACAACAGAAGCAGCAACTTCTTCCACTTGCGAACTTTTCACTGAAGTTCATTTCTCAGCTTGTTCCACATTTTCCTTGAAAAAACATCTCCATTTCTGTTCCACTCCTGTACTGCAAGTAACAATTACAGGTTAAGATCCAAGGAGATGATGCTTTTACTGTCAGTGTTGTTTCATATTTTAGTACATACAGGGAGACTAGGAATACTGAGTAATATGAGAAAAATGCAGGAAAGTAACCCCACTAAGAAAGGAAATTATAGCAAAAAAGGACGATGATGAATACTTCCAAACAACTTTCAAACATGCAGTGCATTCACTGTCGCAACATAACCACAAAACCAGCTGCAATCAACTTTGTTTATTTTAATGACATTCTCTTCTTACATTCAATTAATTCACTGACCTTTTTGGCGTAACCTAATACGATGAGTTGCATTTTTTGTTACTTTGTCAAGTATTTTATACCATCTGGATAGTACAAAAATGTCATCCACTCTCTTGAGCTATTGCGGCACATTGAGACATGAGGCGAAATCTGTCACTTCAAACTGCTGATGATATACAATATAGTTTGGTTTCATCACGTTAAAACATAGCTTTGAGCGATATTCGCAAAACATTGTCATAAGACTAGCTGTTCTATTATGAATGGATATCAAGACAAGTCTCATGAAAAGTAATAAACATATATTTTGATCAATTTTAAGCGTGTTGAAGTGTTGTAGCCTTGGGCCATAAGCCCATGAAAGTGCATTGTCATGTTGATAGCTGAGAAGAAAATTTGGAAAATACTAAGCAAAATTTTCTCTTATTTGCCAAATAATTCCGTATTTCCACCTTTTCCGAACACTTTATCTGTCAGTTGAAAATTAGAGAATGGAGAGAGTGAAAACTGGACACTAACTGATATAAATTTTAAATAATACTATCAGAAATCTTTCTCTTACTGATTTCATTTGCAACAGAATTGTATGAACTATATTATAGGACGATACTTTATATTACTAATATGACTTGAAAAAGAAATAATTCGGCTGATGAAAAGTGGAAAACAGTAGAAAACAAAAGCGATCATCTGGACTGTGTAAATATTATATAATCTTCTGTTTGGAATACTAAGCTTGTTTCACTGTTTGTGAAACTGATGCGTCACGTGAGTAGTTACGTGGATCTAGAAGTTTTATGTTTTGAACTGGTCTTAATGTTATAGTATGCAAGGAGAAAAAGATCGCATTTATTCGTGATATTGACATTTGATGCTAGATCAGTAATAACAAATAATAAGTTAAAGTGAGTCAGTACACTTTTCGAGTTTATAGTATGCAATTTTATAGGAAATAATGGGAAACTGATAGCGATAACGAGAAGAGTAACAGTGACAAAGATATAAGTAGTGGTGATAACGAGAGAAGTGATAAAACGTATTCCTTCGAATCGTCTCATCCCATCGCTTCAGGAGGAAGTAAATGAACCATTCACACAGCTCATCACTTCTTCATCCGTTCATCTGCCTGCATGCTGCATGTATGTGTGCGTGCGTGCGTGCGTGTGGGGTGTCCGTGACAGGTAGAGGAAGCACGAACCACGGTTATGGACGACCCGCTCATTGCATTTGCATTCCCTTGCTACCCCAACGTATTTATATACCCGCAACACTCAGCGCGGAGAATACGAGCTCGAATGTATGCATAAAAACTACGGTGGCGCGCTTGCAGGTGTCTCCTCACAACTTCCCACTTTCTTTGCTTCTCTTCCTTCTTCGGTGACATACTCCTTTCGATCACTCTCAATCTTGCAGTTAGCATATATAGAGAGAGGATGGGAAGCATTGGCTGAATGGGTGCTGTCATTATGCACATAACCCATTAGGAGATAGGTCTACCTGTACATTTTTCTCATATAGTGCTTATAACGCGCAGAGAGGGAGGGAGAATACATGGACGGATGGATAGATGGATAGGTATGGCGGCCCCCCAGACTGAAATTGCCGAGGGGCCGCACGACATTAGATGGCTTCTAGACGGGAAACACATACAGACTTGTGCAGAAACTTCGTTTTTTCGTAGTCGCAGGTGTTACTTGCTCCTCTCTCCTGTGAAGTACACATCCGTGCACGCACTCTCCGCACTCTCGGC